TTCCCTACAGCTCCCCTAACATTCCCTGTTTATATAGTTTTTGTCCTTCTCCTTAAATCTGTTATCATTCTCCTTTCAAACATCCTGCATTGGTATGATTAAAAAATTAAAACAAAGCTCCACCCAACTAGTGCTGCAGATGTGGGTGGCTGAAATTCTTCTCCAGCCATTTTAGCAGTGAACTGCAGCTTCCATCATACTATCATTATGTCTATTTCCCAATGAATTCACCAGCTGTTAATAGCAACAACGATTTATAGCTCTTAGCATCTCAGGGCCTCTAACAGATTGCAGAAGTTCATAGAGCAATACAAACCCTGCTTAGTTCAAGTAGTGAATGTCTCCTTGAGTTACAGATAGACTTAATGCGATGCGGTGATGGTATGCCTTATGCCTCTGTTTGTACATCTGTAAATTGTGAGTAATATTTTCCTACTTGATGAAAATGCTGTGGAGATAGTTAATATCATAATGTGTCTGAAAATCCTGGGTTACTACTTCCCAGGGAAAACCTGTTAAGAGTGTTACTATCATAAAATAAAAAAGCTAATAATGAATCATTGATATTCTGCAGAAAATGTAGATCATAATTCAATGCTCCTGTTAGATTTTGAGTGTAGTTTGATGAGTTGTTAAGTGGCAGCAGCAATCTTCCTCCTTCCAGGTACATGCCAAGTCTAAATTATTGCTTAGAACTTCAGCCAGGTACATGACAAGTTATTAATGCTCTATCTTGAGTCGCATTGTTCAGTTTGTTCTGCAATTAGAGTAGCTTCTTAAATTATTTGCATTTTTTTAAATCTGAGAGAAAGAAAACAACTGCTGGTTGTGGCTTTTGTGGATGAGATATTAATTCAGGAGGACAACCTCTGATTTAGGTTGTCCTCCTGAATTAATATCCTCCACAAAACCCACAGCATTCACACAGATAGGAAAGAAGGAAATTCTGTTTCATCTCTTCCAGGCCACAGTTTTGAAAAAGAGCAGATGTGCTCTGATGATACGATAAAAAATGAAGTGTAAAAATCTATGTGGAATTTGTGATGAAATTGTTCCAAACCAGACATTATTAATAGCGATTATTATACAGTCTGTGACATCTGTGAAACTCAGACGATATGGTGATGTTCTTCAAGTTAAAGCATGGATTAGTGGAGATAAAATCATTGCATGGTAATGCAGCACAGCAAATGTGATTTTGAGCACTTATGTATACATCTAACTTCAGAAAAACATTCATAGAAATCTCCCATAAATCTGAGGGAAATCTAAGGAAGCACAGGTGCCAGAAAAAGATGTATGACCTTGATCTGTTAGGAACTGAGCTCTTATAGTTCTCAACCTCTAATACAGGTAACCCTAAAGCTCTCAGATTACTGTGGAAATGAATATGAAATATTTATTATTTGGGCACAAACAATGCTTTAATAATGGAAAAGTATGATTATAAATTCTTTGCTTGAGGAGAAAGAAAATCAGAATCAAAACTGTTGAAAACTTTGCTCGGTAAGTCCATAGTTTTGGAATCATTTTATAGAGTGGCCTGATTACATTTCTTTTTATGATATAACTCTAGGCTTGTTAGACCACATCCTCCCTGCCATCTACCTCTATTCTTTTCTCTTGGTAACAGAAAGTTTTTATGTAGTAATTAAGTACTGGTTATTACTGTCAATGCTGAACATTACTCAGAATTAGGCTGTATGAACTATGTACCAGTCAGCATGGGTTTATGAAAGGCAGGT